ACATCAGAGTAATACGTTTGTTACAATCAACAAACCTATACTGACTCATCATTATCGCTCACAGAACATAGTTCACATTAGGGTTCATTCTTGATATCGTACATTCTGAGTTTGGACAAATGTATAATGACATGTATCTACCATTGTAGTCTCATCCAGAATAGTTTCATTGCCATAAAAATCCTGTGTGCTCTACTCTTCATCCGTCTGTCCAACCCCTGACAAACACTGATTTTTATTGCCTTCATGGTTTTGCCTTTCCAGAAGGTTATATATTTGGAATTTTAACAACATGTAGCCTTTTAAGATCGCCTTCTATCCTTTACTAATATGAATTTAAGTTTCTTTCATGTCTCTTCATGGCTTGATAGCTCATTTCCTTTCAGTGGTGAATAACATTCCACTGTCTGGCTGTAACACCACAGTTTATTTATCCTCTCACCCACTGAAGGACGTCTTAGTTGCTTCCAAATTTTGGCAATTATAAATAAAGCTGTTATAATGACCACGTGTAGGATTTTTGCATGGATATAAGTTTCAGTTCGTTTGGGTAAATGCCAAGGAGCAGGATTGCTGGATAGTATGGTAAAATTATGATTAATTATGGAAGAAACTGTCAAACTGTCTTCCAAAGTGTATGTACTATATGCATTTTCAGCAGCAATGTATGAGAATTCCTGTTGCTCCACATCCTCACCAGCATTTAGTATTCAGCGTTCTAAATTTTGTTTCTTGTTGCTTTAATTTGCATTTACCTGATGACATATGATGTGGAGCATCTTCCCATATGCTTACTTGCCATCTGTTTATCAATTATTTCTTCTATGGATTGTGCTTTTTTTGTTGTACCTGAAAAAGCAACACCATATCCAAGGTCATCTAGGTTTTCTCCTATGTTATCTCCTAGGAGTTTTGTAGTTTGGGGTTTTACATTTAAGTTAATGATCCATTTTGAGTTAATATTTGTGAAAGGTGTAAGGTCTGTATCTGGATTCATTTTTTTTTTTTTTTTTACGTGTTGATGTCCATTTTCAGCATCATTTGTTGAAAAGACTATCTTTTCACCATTGTATTACCATTCCTCCTTTGTCAAAGATCAGTTGACTGTATTTATGTGGGTCTATTTCTGGGCTCTCTGTTCTGTTCCATTGATATATTTGTCTATTCTTTCACCAGGACTTCATTATTTTAATTACTGTAGCTTTATAGTAAGTCTTTTTTTTTAGATTTTATTGGGGAATCAGGGAAGGGGAGCAGACAAGTTGCTGTCCTTTTGTTCTTCAGTGTAGTCACAACATTTAGGCCCATGTTGGCATTATCATTGTGCTCTTTCTAGGTGAAGCAGATCGGTCACCGGCCATTGGATGGCGGTGCTCACAGCAGCTCACTCCTGCTGCCGGCTGCTCACGCTTGGCTGTCAGCCACTCATGGGTAGCTCATGGCAGCCCACTGCAGTCCCACTGCAGCCTACATCGTCGCTGGCGACCCACAGCAGCCCAGCTCCAGGTTGAGCTGTTGTTCACCATTTTAGCTGTAGAGGGCGCAGCATCACTGGCCCAAATGTGGGATCCGAACCGGGGTCCTGCTGCTCAGAGCTGGCGTCCCAAGCCAACTTTTAACCAACGCACCACTCGGCCGGGCCATCAACTTCACTTTTAAAGGATAACTTCGCAGGGTACAGAATTTTAGATTGCTGATTTTTTTCCCCCCTCACAATATTTTAAATATTTCACTCCAGTGTTCTTGTTTGCAGTTTCTGAGAAGTCAGAAGTAATTCTTGTGTTTTCCCCTTTATAGGTAAGGTTTTGGGGTTTTTTTACCCTTTGGCTTCTTTCAGGAGTTTTTTGTTTATTTTTTTTTTTCCTGTACTTTGAAAATGACATGGTTAGGCATAGTTTTTCTGGCGTTTATCCTGCTTAGTGTTCTTTGAACTTCCTGGATCTGTGCTTTGGTGTCACACATTAATTTGGGGAAATTCTCAGTCATTGTTGCTTTAAACATTGCTTGTTTCTTTCTTCTCCGTCTGATATTCCCATTACACATATGTTATACCTTTTCTAGTTGTCCCACAGTTCTTGGATATTCTGGTCTGGTTTTGTTTGTTTGTTTGTTTGTTTGTTTGTTTTGTTTTTTCCCCCTCAGTCTTTTTTTCCTCTTTGCTTTTAGTTTTGGAAATTTCTATTGTCATATTTTCAAGCTCAAAGATTCTTCCCAAGCTATGTCCTGTCTTCTGATGAGCCCATCAATTACATTCTTTTCTGTTATAGTGTTTTTGATCTGTAGTTTAAAAAAATTCTTAGGATTTTCATCTCTCTACTTTCATTATCTGTCTGTTCTTGTATGTTATCTGCCATTTCCATTAAAGCCCTTAGCATATTAATCAAAGTTTTTTTAAGTTCCTGATCTGATAATTCCAACATTCCTGCCCTATGAATCTGGTTCTGATGTTTGTTCAATCTCTTTAAACTGTGCTGTTTGCCTATTAGTATGCCTTGTAATTTTTCTGATAGCCAGACATGATATACTAGGTAAAAGGAAGTGTGGTAAATACGTCTTTAGTAATATAGTGGTAAGGTATGGGGGAAGGGAAGGGTTGTGAAGTTCTATGATTAGATCTGAGTCTTTAGTGAGCTTGTGCCCTGAACTATGAACTTCATCAGTGCTTCTCAGTTTGTTTTTGTTTTTGATTTATTTGCTAAGGTGGGATGAGGCATCTGGAGGCTTCTAGAGTTGTATATTTCCCTTCCCCCAGTTATGTTAGTTAGGCTTTGATAAAACGCCAGTCGTTTAGACGCTTGTAAAATAGTTTTTCTTAAAGGCAGATCTTGTTAAGAACAGAGCTCTGGAATACTTCAAATGGTTCCTTTTCCCCTCCTATTGCTGGAAGCTCAAGGAGATTAGCTATGAGGACCTGATAGAGCACCTGGATGTAAAAATTACGAAAGTGTGAGGACCCTCCCCATGACTAGGTCCCCCTGGAGTTTTTACTGTCCGTACTGAGCCTTCAGCAATTCATTAATTATAGTCCAGGTTTTCTACTCCGGTTCTTGTTCCTGCAGAGATTTTTGCTTGTAGATTTCTGCTCCAGTAAGTTGTGAATCTCTGTATTTGTCTATTTAATGCTCCAGTTTTGGGGGTCCTGATTTGCCCTGTGACCTCATGTCTCTCATTGTTCTAAGAGCTGTTGATTTTTCAGTCTATTCAGCTATTTACTTGTTGTGAGGACAGAATGGTAACTTCTAAGTTCCTTACATGCTGAGCCACAAACTTGAAAGCCTTCACTAAATTTTTACCATCCATTAATGAATTGTGACTCAGAGTTTGAAAAACGGTTTTAAATTACAGTTGATCCTTGAACAGTGCAAGGGTTAGGGGAACTGACGCCCCCACACACCATTGAAAATCCATGTATAACATTTGACTCCCCCAAAACTTAAATACTAATAGCCTACTGTTGACTGGAAGCCTTACTTTACCTACTTCAGTATGGTCTTATTTGATACAAAACACTATAGATAACTTAAATAGTCAATTAACACATATTTCGTACATTATATGTATTATGTACTGTATTTTTACAATAAATTAAGCTAGAAAAAGTTAAAATCATAAGGAAGAGAAAATATGTTTACAGTGCTTTATTGTATTTATCATTACAATAAATTTACATCATCTGTTTATAAGATGAATCATCTGTCAACACCCACATCAATATGGTCTTATATGATAGAAAACACTGTAGATGTTTATGTATTACTAACACTACACATCAAAAATGAAAAAATATGGTGAAAAAAGTTCATATTCATTTACAGGTATAACAATTCATACATTTATAACAAAGAAGCGGCAAATGACTGTTTTGTGGTAGCCTATGATTGCTTCACAGCAGCCTAGCCTAGCCTATATACTAACAAAGCAGTCATTATAAAATTTTTATGGCATACAGTATTACAATCATATTTATAATACAGTACTGGAAACTTGTTAACTCTTTTTAAAACTACTTACCTGTGATGATAGGCTGATGCACAGTTTCTCCAATATGCGTAAGAGAAGTGTACTGTATGGTAATATAATTTTTTGAAAACAAAGTTATAAAACAGTAAGAAAAGTAACACATTATGTTTTTGTTTTTGTTTTTTATCTTTAAAAGTATTTTAATTAGTATAATCTCTCAAGATCAATAACATATTGTAAGTTTTCTGCATTAGAAGTGTATTCCTAAATAAATAAACCCAAGGCAACAGCTGGCAAAACTGTAAAGAAAGAGTAATTTTATTTTAAAATAAATGGCAAAAAAATCAACTTTATAAAATAACTTTATCAATGTGAATTATTTTTAAATAGAAATAGGGAATGATCAGATGTGCATCAAATTGTACTGTCATTTACTGACAGCAGAAACACTCCAAACAAGTTAATACAAGGGGAAGTACCTAAATATATAGAAATAAATGTACACACCCAAATAACAAACTAGACACATCTGTCATTTCCTGAGACCAAAATCTTCACATAAATATACCAACAAATACAGCAAAATATCAACATAAAGGAATATATATATATATATATATATATATATATATATATATATATATACACACACACATAAATACCAAAACCCAAAGTGACATGTAGACATATAACACAGGTGCTTTTATACATAAGCAAAAACACATTGCTCAGTCAAATAGCCCAGACAGAAACAACAGGTGATCTACAAAACTCCCAATCATATTGTAACCTTTTTAGTAGTGGTGAAAACTCAACAGTTCACAATGAAGTTGAGTTGAATAAAATGTTCATGCTTAAAATAATGGAAATAGAAAAAGAAACCAGAGTCTAAAGCCACTCCTCACTGTCACTGAGTTTTTTAAAAATTGAAAATGTGAAGACAACTTCAAAGACTTAATAGCACAGGGAGGGAGTCACCAACAGCACAGGGAAGCTGGTGACTCCTATCCAGAATAAAGATTATTCGCTAATGACATCACTCAAAGTAAACAGAAAAACATTCTGTAAAGTGAGCTAAATTCTTTTACTTTAAAGGTCCTGCTAGAGACTTGCTGTTGCTCCAATTCATGACTTGGGGAGGCAAAACTCAAAAAGCTATTGCTGGGTTCAGGTGCTATGGGAGAACCCACAAAAAATGGTCTGAACCGAAAACCTCCATCTCCACCACCTCGATTTCGAACTGGCGTACTGTCCAAAGGAAACTTGGAGTTGTTCCCTAATGGGAAGCCAAAAATACCAGATTGTGACATCATGGATGGCTCAAGGGTACCTTCTTGGTTAGCAGTAGTGGTGTTTCGTAGCCTAAGGCTATCATAGAGGCCTTGAAGCTTTTGATACTGATGATTTCGCTCCATAAGTTTCTCAGAGATGTTGCTGAACTTTTTCTTGTATTCTTTTAGCACTTTTTTCATGGAAGTGACCTCCCCTTTCATAGAGGTCAGTTCTACATCCTTGCTCTGTACTTGTTGAATATACATCTTCTCCATCTGCTTCAGATGGCCCTCAGCCTTACTGAATTTGTATTCTTGATAGAGATGCTCTTGATGTACACAGTATGTCCAGAAGGCTAGTGCTCGGGAGCTAATGTCCAATACAGTCTCTGGTCAAAGTCCTGCCATTACCATGGCTTTGTATTCCTCTGATGGACTGAGTTCTGTTTGGACAATGTCTAGCTTGCCAGAAAGGGTACTGTTGCAGGCAGGGAAGATAGCTGGTGAACAACTAAACTCACCACTGCCATGCTGATCATAGAAAATGTGCGAGTGGGCAGTGACCCATGCATAACCAGAGAGTTTGATGTGACACTTGCAATAATTACAAAGCTCCATGTCTTCACACAAAGACATAATAGATAGTGAGGTCTCCAGATGCTGAAAAGGAGCCTGCTTCATGGCATGTGTCCTGTTCTCATGGCATAGACAAACCCTTCACTGGCATGTTTCTAGGGTGCTCCTTATTGCAAATTGATTCTATAAACTATTTCTGGTGAGAAAAGTCAGCTTCCATGTTCAATTTGAAGAATCATCTACCTTCGTACATAAAAGAAAAATGTTGTCATCACCTATTGTATATCCAGGACTTACAGCAGCCAAGAGTTCCAAGGTTGGGAAAGAAGTTTGTAGAAAGAAACTCAGATCTAGTTTCAGTCTCCTGAAATTTCATTTCTATGTTTTCTTCTATGCAGTTTATTGTTTCAGGTCTTATGTTTAGGTCTTTGATTCAGTTGGAATTGATTGTGGTACATGGTGACAGACAGCAGTCTAGTTTCCTTCTTTTGCATGTATTATATAGCTTTCCAATTCTCCCAGCACCATTTACTGAAGAGGCTTTCTTTTTCCATTGTATGTTTTTGGCTCCTTTTTGGAAAATTATATGACTTCACTGATATGTAGGATATAAAACGCTGGTATCAGATGAATCCAGCGCCTCTCTGGGAATGAAACTGAACTACAGAATCTATCAACTACTTAGCATTATCTCTTTATGGTCCCATCAGCCTTTAATCATTCCTACTGAGAATGTCCAAATCCAAGCCCACTTGATTTTTAGGGGGTCTGCAGCAGATGTTATAAAGTCTTTCCCAGTGCCACTTCTGGGCTGGCACACAAGATGCCGAAGACCCAAGCCTTCTTTCCTCAGTGGATTCCATCTTCAACCAGCCCACCACCAATGGGAGAGAGAGCACATTATTTGTTGATTTTATATGAAATATCATTTACTTTATGCCTATGTAAGGCTATCCACTTTAATGCAAGGCTTATACGCAGTGTTCTACATGATGAACCCTTAGGCGATGATGATGACACCAAAATATCTCTTTCAGTTCTTGCTGTATATTTATTAGGTTTTCAAGCAAAGACACCAAAACATACACAACAGATAAGTTCATTAACTGTACGGCATGAAGATTATTCACTATTGATTAAGTGGAGGTGGATCATCGTAAAGGTCTTCATCCTCATCTTCACGATGAGTAGGCTGAGGAGGAAGAGACAGAGGAGGTGGAAGGGGAGACAGGAGAGCAGGCTCACTCGGATAACTTTATGGAAATGCATCAGAATTTCCACCTGACTTTTGCTTTTTAATTTGTCTAAAAATGTTTATATGTGGCACCAATCCTTCTTCACCATTTGCTTTAATTTCAGTGCCCGTATCATGGGAGGGTCCATGTTGTAAAAGAAATCTAAAGCAGTCTTGAATAAGTGGAACCCTTCTGCCAGACTGTTTAATGTCAGTCGGTTTCCTGGCACTGCTTCTTCATCTTCTTTCTCATCATCTGGCACCGGTTCAGAAGCACTCGTCTCTATCAGGTCATCTTCTGTTAATTCCTCTGGTGTGGTATCCCTTAGCTCTTGAATTCCTCCAAGACCCATATCTTGAAACCATTCACCCCCTTACTTTTTTTTGCCATATCCACAATCTTATGATTTCTTGATTGGCTCTCCTGTACATCCTGTGAAGTCATGCACAATATCTGAGCACTGTTTTCTCCTGCAGGAATTTATTATTTGGGCTTGATGGCTTTCATGGCTTTTTCTAGAACAACAATGGCATCTTCAATGGTGTCATCCTTCCAGACTTACGTGATATTCTCTCGATGGGGTTCTCTTCCACAGCATTGACAGTCCTTTCCATAGAATGCTGTGGGTAATGAGCTTTAAAGGTCCTTAGACCCCCTGATCTATAGGCTGAATTGGAGACATTGTGTTTGGGGGGCAGGTAGACCACTTTGATGCCTCTGGTGTTGAATTCATGGGGTTCTGGGTGGCCAGGGACATTGTCAAATAGCAAAAGAACTATAAAAGGCAGTCCCTGCCACCAGGGACAAATAATCGATGGAACCAGTCTAGCAGAAAGGTTCTTGTAGTTCAGGCCTTCTTGTTTATCTTTCGCCTTCAAGGCTCGAGTTGGCAGCGTTATTGTAAGGGCAGTCCTGATTATAAACCCGACTGTATTTGCACAAACAGTAGTTAGCCTGTCCCTTCCTGCCTAAATCCTGGTACTCACTTCGTTTGTTTTTTTTAGTAATAAATGTCCTCTGTGGTATTTTTTTCCAGAATAAGGCACTTTCGTCCCGTGGTATTATTTAAGGATTACAGTATTGCATTAAAAACCTGTTCGGGCAGATATCCTTTCTCCTCACTGATTTTCTTAATGGTGTCTGGGAACTCGTCTGCTGCCTCTTGGTCGGCAGAAGCTACTTCTCCTGTTATCTTGACTTTTTTTTTTTACCCCAAACCACTTTGTAAAATTATCAAACCATCCTTTGCTGACATTAAATTCTCCAGCTTCAGAGCCTTTGCCGTCTTTTTGCTTTAAGTTGTCATATGACGACTGCTTTTTCTCGAATCATATTAGAGTCTGTAACTATGCCTTTCTTATAGCCATGCTGCACCTATATAAAAGCTGCATTATCGGTATGAGATAAAAAAGGTATTGTGCAAAAAGTGCAAGGCTTTTGCACCTGCTGGTGTAGCCACAGCAACAACTTTACAAATTTCCTTTTATTTTTTCTTACAATACTCCTTACCCTGGATCCATTTGTCTTGAAATGATGAGCAACCACAGCTGCAGACCTCACTTTACAGTACATATCAAGCAATTCAACTTTTTCTCATAATGTCTTGACTTTTCTCTGCTTCTTGGGAGCGCTTTCAGCATCACTAGTGGTACTTTGTATGCATCCATGGTGTTATTCAAGGTTTACAGTATTGCACTAAACATGATGAAAAATATGTGAGAGCTATGAGAGATCACTTTTTACTGCAATATGCAATTTGCTGGAGAGACAAACTACTCATGAGGAGAAGATTAGCATCACATGATATTTTAAGTGGATACTTGCAACACGCGCTCACCGCATTAGCAGTGGGAGGTGGCTGCGAAATTATTACAGTAGGACTGTGTGTACTACAGTTAATCTTATGCAGTTATAATTTAAATCTCCATCTTTAGATTTGTTTACATTTCTCTTGACTGTGAATGGCACCATGTACAGTCTATAACTCTGTGTAAGTTTTGATAAATTTTAACTATTTATAATAAATTTGTGTATATATTACTATAGTAAAATAGACTAGCATCTACATACATTTTATACATTCATGACATACCTAGCTTTTTCTCAATTTTTTTCAGCATTTTTAGGCTGCACAGCTCATCTGCAAGTTTTTTCAAATTATCACAAATCTCCAAAAAGTTTTCCAATACATATTTATTGAAAAAAATCCGAATATAAGTGGACCAGCACAGTTCAAACCATTGTAGTTCATGAGTCAACTGTAGATGGAACTAACTTTAGGCTAAGTGAAAAAAACTCAAACACAAAATACTGCATTCTATATTATTTTATTTACACAGCATTCTAGAAAAAAAAAAAAAAACAGAAAAAACATAATGACAGAAAGCAGACTAGTGGTTGCCTGGAGTCAGGGGCCGAGGGAAGGGACTGACTGCAAAGGGGAACAAGGGGTGATGGGCATGTTCTGTATTTTCATTACGGTGGTGGTTACCTGACTGTATTCATAAACTGCTGAAACTCAGTACACCTGTACTTAAAATGGACAAAAGCTTATACCTTAATGAAGCTGGGGTAAGTTTTGTAGTGCTTAATAAAATGCCAGTAAGATATTATTAACATAAAATTCAGTTGCTAAGCAATTTTTCAATGGGTCACCAGCAAAGGGACTTTGAAAACAAACTTCCAAGAGCCCACAATCAGGGAAAAAAAAAGTTTTTTTCTTCACAGCGTGAGATGGGATGTCCCAGGGTGAGGTGGGATGTCCCAGGGTGAGGTACCCAGGAATGTAGGCACAGTGAAGCAGTGACACATAGTCCAGCTGTGTTCTCCCTCCTGCGACAACTGAGACTGATTCATAGCTAGGCTTAACCATTTGCTCAAAACCTCAAATATATTTTTCTGTTGCGAAATTTCATGTGGCTCCTTGTTTTGGACAGATTGATTTGCTGCTGCCAAATGTGAGATGTTTTTTCATGAAATTCCAATGTTTGCCATTGAATGAAGACAGCGGTAAAACTCTGTGATACATCATGGAAGATGTTGATTTGCTACTGATTATATACTATTGAAATGTAACCATTGTATTTTATCTTTTAGGAACTGTGGAGTTTATTATGGACTCAAAGCACAATTTCTACTTCATGGAGATGAATACAAGGCTGCAAGTGGAACACCCTGTTACTGAGATGATCACAGGAACTGACTTGGTGGAGTGGCAGCTTAAGGTGGGAATATTTTTCCTTTTAAATATCAGTCTTGAGAATACGTTACCTTCTGGCCTCCTAAAAGGAAGTGTCACTTTGGATAAGGGTTCAATTCTTGCTGGTTGTGATGAAGACAGGAAAATGGGAGGTTAAACGTAACACAGCATTTGATGATATTGTCACATTATTGTCACTTTGTGGACACAGATTCCTAATCTGTCAATTACCATCATCTCCCCCTTAGGCATGGGGTAGCCAGCAGGTAAGCAGCTGCCACTGAGGCTTCTTGTGACCACATCGTCTCAACAAAGCCTTGTGCTATACCTAAGGCCACCTCATTCTGGGCCGGGCCATCATTAGATTTTAGAGGCAGGACAGATGGTAGCCAAGCTGGACTGAGCTAAGGCAGGGTTGGGAATGAAAAGCCAGGGGTGGTCCATTTGCAAGTGCTGACTTACAAACCGCTGCAGGCTCCTGGTGGGGTAAGTATGGACATTTACAGTAAATGTTTAGAAAATTTTAAAGCGTTTTTGGCTTCACTAGGACCTTATCTACTGGTTTTACAACAGTATAAGTTCACAATGTTCCTTTATTATAGATAGTGTGAGAAGCACTGGCCTAA